AGGACATAGTCTGAGGCAAGATGGAGGGTGTGAGGGGCCTTCACACTTCACTTCATCCCTTCTACCCATCACAGCATATAAAGCAACTACACCTGGATTTTTCCAAACAACTTTTATTTCCTCAAAGTCTTCCTTAACCCTATGGAACAAGAAGCTGCCACTGAGTAGGGCCCAGTATAGGGCTGCTTTCTTTTCTCCTCCCTCCCCCTGATATAAAAATATAGATATTTTTGTGGTCCCAAAATCTTGTGCTGTGGAGGGAGGGAAGGGGTGACACATTCCCTGCTTTGTCCTGTCTCAAGGTGATGCTCTGTGATGCCTCAGCACGGTGTGAATGGCATTCTGAGGAGTTAAAGTTGTCACATGGAATCAGCAGCTGAGGCAGGGGACTAGCACATTTCTCAGTGTTCCCCATCTTGTGGCTATATCCTGGGCATGAAGGTCAAGGCATCAGACCCGGGGAGAAACAGTGAATGGGGGAGATTTAGGGACAAAACAAACCTCAGGTTGGCCCAAGGGCCCCCCGCTGTAACAAGTCCGAGACTGGGAGTCAGATAGACTACAGGAAATAGGAGAAATGGCAGGGGCAGAGTGGGGCCGTGGAGGTGCGGCCTGAGGCAGCCTGCAACAGAAAAGAGAGGAATCAGGGTTGTGAAAAGTTTGCTCCTTTTCTGGTCTGTTCGCCAGGGACTGGGAAGTGAGAGGTGGGATGGGTAAGGATAGGCACAGTATTGAGTACTGCACAGTGGTCTGATGCTGGAACCTGCCAGCTCCTAGGCCTTAGACCCTAACAGTTTTCTTATTCACTGGAGTGAAGACTGAGGCCATTATGGGGGGAAAAACAGGTACTAGATTCCTAATGAAAGTACATTTAGTCTTTTGGGGGTCAAGGATTCAGGAAGGAAATGATCCTGAATGGCAGAATTGGGAATGAGGGGGTAGAAAGGAGAAGTGGGGTGAGGGACAATCTGTGCTCACCCTGGTGCAGAGCGGGGTCCCGGCTCCGGCTCACTGCTCTCCCTGGTCCAGAGGATAGGGGATGTGGGGCCCGAAGAGCCTCTCATCCCTCTGCAAGTCGGCGGTGAGCCCCAGCCCAACCTGGACCTAGCCTGTGGACAGGGGGTGGGCTAAGAAGCTGGGTTCATCCGTGAATATTTGTGCTTCTAGAGTTCCCATGAGTAAGGGTGTAGTTTAGCAGTCAACACAGGTACTAGGACCTTTCATTCCTGGGCCCGTTCCCTAGCTGAGAGGATAATAGAGAACTTGGGTTCAATCTATAACTATATACTCTCAGTCTTATTTAACTAGGGGAGGCAAAAGAATCCACCATTTAACCTCCATGGCTATATCATGGCCAAGATTTGTACCAAAGACAAGTACTGTGTAGAAAGCTTTTGGAGGATTGGTAGATCTTTCTCAGCCTTCTGTGCCTCATCCCCTGCCAGACCAGCTTACGTTTCACCCGTCCATTCACCTTCTGCCTATACCCAACTTTAGCCAACTAGCATGGGGGTCTGGACTGAATTGGCGTTGGTGGCACAGCTGTTCCTAGGAGCAGCAATCAGATGTGTTACCTGGGGAATCCGGGACCCCTCCTGGCGGGAACTCTCCTCGGGCAGGTCTGGGCAGAAAGAGAGGAGAAACTAAGGGCAGGGGCAGACAAAGCCAAAGCTAGCAGGCTGAGATCGGGGTATATCCGGCAGGGACATAGGGTTGAAAGCAAGCAAGAGACCTGGCTTGAAGGGGATGGGACACTGGACAGACAGGCACTCGAGACACCGGAAGAGCTCTCTTAAATGGTTGGGGAGAGGTAAAGCAGTGCTGGGCATTCCCCCTCCTACTACCAGATGAACAGCTGCTTGTTGGGTTCTGCCATAGTTGTTATGCTGGGGACAGGAAGACCCAAAAATGTTACCTGTAATCGGGTCCTGACACAGGGGATCCGAGGTCCAGTTCCTAGTAGACCTTTCCCAATCACCATGACCGCCTCTGGCTTGTCCCCTGAGGACAGGAATGAGCAGTTGCTCCCTGAGAACAAAAGAAACATATCAGGGTAGGGGCCACGGGGAAGAGGGAACTTCCTTTAGATTAGAGTTTCTCAATATTGGCATTATTGACATTTTGGGCTGGATAATTCTTTGTGTCATTCTAGGATATTTAGCAGCATCCCTGGCCTCTACCCATTAGAGCAGTGGTTCTCAACCTTCTGGCCCTTTAAATACAGTTCCTCATGTTGTGACCCAACCATAAAATTATTTTTGTTGCTACTTCATAACTGTAATGTTGCTACTGTTATGAATCGTCATGTAAATATCTGATATGCAGGATGGTCTTAGGCGACCCCTGTGAAAGGGTCGTTCGACCGCCAAAGGGGTCTCGACCCACAGGTTGAGAACCACTGGATTAGAGGTTCCTCTTCCTGCCCCTCCCCATTTGTAACCCAAAATGTCTCTAGACATTGGCACATGTGCAGAGGTGGTGAGGTAGTTGCCCTTGGTTAAGAAGCTTGGCATGCTCTAGTCTTGTTCAAGGGGTGGAGCAGCAAATCAGAGCTTGAATTACTCTGAATTTATAGACCTTAGAGCAGTGGTTCTCAACCTTGGTTGCACATTAGAATCACCTGGGAATCTTTTTAAAATCCTGATTTCTGGGCCTCGTCCTCCGTAAATTCTGTTTCTTTGTTACTAATGTGGCAGCTGGGATAGAACAAAAGGAGAGCAGATGGCCAAGGTTTTGTGTGCTTGATATGGTCACACATTTGTGGTGATGGCAGGCCTATCCTTTTTTTCATTCTGCAGTTTTGTCTAATGTCCAGCTCCTGGAGTCAGGGAGCTTCAATCAGTAGCAGGTAGGAAAAGTCATAATGCTCCTCAACTGTAAAAGTGAGGATTAAATGAGATAATGAGCTTAGAGCAGTGCCTGCCACATAGTAAATGCTCAATAAATGGGAACTACTATTATACAAAGACATTCATTAAATTTCAGCTTCCTGTACAAGGGCATGGATGTTTGGGGTTTAGGATCCTCTGGGCGATAACTGATGCCCCTGGTCTACAGAGGCCTCTATCACATCAAGTCAAGAACGAGGTCCAGGTCCAGGGGCAACGGGGCTGCAGGACTTCCTCAGGAGCCTGCTCTACACCCTGCATGGTAAGGAAGGAAGGAGGCTGCCAACCTAGATTTCAGTGGCAGTGCGTACAGACCTGATGTGCTGAGTGAGCTGGGCAGTAGGCAGGAGCCCATGATGCGTGAGGAGGCTAGGCTAGAACTGGCAGGAGTTGGGGATGAGGCCAGGTTGCTTGAAGTAAGGTGATAGGTCAGTGGCTGCTGCCGCCGTCTCCTGTCCTGGCTTCGGGGCTCTGAGTGGAAGGGACACAGCAGAGAGGGAAAGTAAGTGAGGCACTGTCAGTCCACCACCCCACTGGCTCTCCTTGGTCAGAAAATGCCCATTTTCAAACTTACCGCACCAGCGTCCCTTGTCTGAAGAAACCTAAGATGAGTATAAAGTCCTCTGATACTTATTCCAGTGTCCAGTTCTCAGCCAGCCCTCATCCTCACTTCTCTGGCTAACCAACTTACCCCCGAGCTCATTCTTTTGGCAAAGGAATTATTGCGCTTGGCTTCTAAACAGCTTTCCTAGGTTCTCCTCTTACCTCTAACTGCTCTTCAACTAATCTTCCTGCCCCTTAAATTGTGGTGTTCCCACCATTCTGTCCTTGGTCCTCTCTTGCTTGGCATATTTTAAACTCTCAAATCTCCCTCTAGCCCTTTTCTCCTGAGCTGCAGTTCTAACTGTCCACTGGACGTTTTCTACCTGGCAGTCTTTCATGACCCAAATAAAATCCATTTTCTCCCACCCTTTCTTTTGTTCTCCCTATCTTCGGGAAGATTTTGCTAGAAACCTTGTTTCATCTTTCAACTCTTCCCTCACATTTATATTTGTGTTTAACCAATTCTCCTTTACCTTCATTTGAATTTCTTCTTTATTCTCCCTTGCTATTGCCAGTGTCCAGATATAGGTCTTTAGCTCATTCAGGCTTTTGAAAAATATTCTCCACTGGCCCCCCTCCTTCCTTTTTGCAATCCATTCTTTAGGCAGATGACAGAAATTGCTCTTCTAAAACACAGACCTGATCAAAAATCATTTGGGCTCAGAGAAGGGGGAGATACTGAAGGTCTTTTAAAGGACAGAGTCTAAACGTTTGTATACAGCATTCAAAGCCCTGCCCACTGATTCAGGTCTGCTCATCCTCAGAAGGATGCTGACTTGACTTGATCCTTCACACCCTCTGCTACAACCCCTGGGGCTCCTAGCTGTGCGGGTCCTCTAAAATGTCTGTTGCCTAGGGAAATCCTGGCTATCTTACGAGTCCCATCTCAAATGTCACCTCTGTGAGGCCTCCGTGACCATTAATGGTAGAATTAATTGTTCTCTTCATTGTCCTTTATTCACGTGGCTAGTAATTATTTATGGTTTCTCCCTAATTAAATAAGTTAGTACATGTAAAGGACTTAAAATAGTATCTGGCACATACTAAGTACTCAATAATGTTTGCCAATATTCTAATTAGAACCTGAGTTCCTTGTGGGTAGGGACCTTCTCTAATACTGTGTATGCTGGGTACCAAGTAGAGGCTAAGACTGCACCAAGAGTCAGAAACAACCAGAACTTAGGAGGCTAGGAAGAGTTGGTACAGCAGTGCCAACAAGACAAAAGAAGTCAGAGATTCAATGCCAGTCAGTTAACCTGCAACATTACCCACCACAGAGATGCTGTAGAGCCCAGACCTGGGTGATTTTTGGTTAAAACAGGGATGTCACTATGATTTCCAAGGGACAGTGCACAGGAGGCAGAAATAACGAACTTGATAGAGGGGAAAACAGCAGGTTTCTAGATGGTCTGAGAAATCTCCATATACAGATGCATGTTGAAAATATATTAAGGGATGAAGCCTCACCCACCCCAAGAAAGGAGGAGAGAAAACAAGCAAGAGTGAGCGAAAGCCTTTGGGACGTTGGTAGGTTCTAGTAAGGAACTGCACGATAGTCAAGGAGGTATGAAGCAAAATAGGCAAATGATGTAAAAAAAAAGTCAGTGTGAAATGTAGGGATCATGGGAAAGATACTAAGGATGCACTCAGGAATCCTGCGCCTAAGGAGAAGACAAGGTAGAAGACAAGGTCTGGTTGAGGGTAGAAGGCTGATCTGGAAAGTGTAAGGCATTTAGACAGCATTTCAACTCATCAAAGACTCTTAAGATCCAGCCAGCCCTGCTGTAAGTCTGGCAAAGTGAGCCCACAGCAGTTTCTCATGTTTGGCTTCTGGCCTTCTAAGTCCCCATGGAGACAAGAATGAAAGGGAAGAGCCCCAATTCTATTAT